TATATATATATATATATTTCTATGTGTGTGTGTGTGCGAGCGCGCGCGTGTCATAAATATTTGGAAAGTGGTAGGGGTGTTATATAGTCCAAAGCAAATGTTCCAGAGAGACTAGTGAAAGTAGTTCAGCCCTGGTCTTCTGATTTATAGAAGTTTGGTGGTAACCTGGATATCCCGAGAAGCAAAAATAAGAATGTCCTGGAATCAATCTAATAATTGATCAACTTCCTATAGTCAATAGAAATCCTTCATTTAGTGACATTTTTAGTGAATATAAGTTCTTTCTTTTCATTCTCCACTACAATCACTTTTCCTTTCTTGGGAATACTACAGATAAGACTTTCCCATGCACTATTAGATATGAGATAGATAATTCCCACATCCAATCATTTCAAAATCTCCTTCTTCACCACTTCCTTTATCATTTGGTTAAATCTCCTTTGAGGATCGATCGAACATTGGCTCACGTTTCTTTTTTTTCAAAATTTTATGCACACATAAAAAAGGGTTAGTTCATTAACATTGTTTCTTGTACATCATTTAATTTAGCAGAAATAATTATGGGCAAAGTAAAAATTCTCCTAAAATTGCAAACTTTAGAAGCTTGGGGAGAATCTTAAGTTCTAATTTAGAAGCCTTAACTACACATGGAACTAAAGGCTTAAGAATTGCTACGGTATCCAAAATCTCAAATTTACCCCTAGTCACTCTAGGGATTGCCACCAATAATAGAGTAGATTCTTCTTGGGTATTCACTATTTTCCTCAATCAAATATTGCTCTATTGCGTCAATTTCCCAAATTAAAATGAAAAAAATACACAAAATCTCTTAACACTAAAAGGGTAAATTGTAATAATAAAACAATATTAAAATAATAACATTTTGTTAAATTTTTAAAAGTACTTATTTATAGTAGTAAATAAATAAATAAATAATCTAAAAAATAAAATAAGAGGATGATAATAATAATAATATATTAGATCTAAATTAATTAAAATAAAAGATAGAATGTGCTCGAGAATGATGATTTTATCACTTTTCCAATTTTTTTAATCAATCATTTTTAATATTCAATTTTTTTATAATTTTTTTTTTTAAATTTACCATTTAAATAGTTATTGTAAAGCCCTATCTAATAACATTTTAAACATCTAATTTTTTATAATTATTTTATTTTAAACAAATTAATACCAAAAATGATTTTAAAAATTAAAATATCATCTACATTTTTTTAAAACATTATATATTATATCATTTAAATATTTCATATCATCTAAAAAAATATACCACCTTTTTATGCCTAAGAAGATGACTTGTATAATTATATAAATAAATCAAAATCTTGATGCTAATTGTGTAAATACATAAGAATTGGGTGACATGTATATAAATATTCCTAAAAATTCCGTGGTTCCTAGGTGGACCTAAATAACCTAATCCTCTTTTTCAACTAACCGAGGCGATCAACCCCATTACCATAGCTTTTTTGAAGGGAATTCATTTCGCCCAATTCAGTTATCGAGAAGTTCATTGCTTAGGAAAGCCGCATCTTTTAACATCCCCTTTCTTTTAGAAAAGCCGCGTCTTTTATTCTCCTCATCCATGATTTCTACATCAGCCGATGCTTCGAGCCCTAAACTCCACTTTTCCTTCTACTTCCTTCACGAAACTCTTCGTCTCCCGCTCTACTCTTCTCTTCCTTTTTCACTCGTCGTTCTCTTCCAAATCGAAGAAGATGGAGGGACGTAGAAAACCATATACGATCCGGAGCAATATAGACTCCGGCCCCGACCCTCGATCGGTGAGTGCTTATTTCCGCGTTCTTTTCTTTTGAAGTAATCTTATAAGAAAATGGAGTATTTATTCGTGGATGGAAGCAGGAAAAATGGTTTTTTTAAAACTAAGATCGTGTTGAAATCTGTTTTACTTTATAGCGGGTTTAGATCATGTCTCATCTATGTTCTGGCTGTTTTTTAAATTAAATTTTACTCTTGTATCAATTAATCTAATGGGATGTTTGCTTTAATGTTATTTATGCGACAGTGTTGTGCAGATAACTGTGATTTTCGGAAAACTTTACAGTCTGTTTATGAAATGTAGTGTGTTCGGTTTATTTTTATTCTAGTTAACAATTTAGTGTTATCTGGAAGGAAGAGTTCCATACATACTACTCAATTCATTTGTATTTTTTGTATCTAACACCTAAACTTCAATTTTCACATTCGTGCAACATCACCTATGAATAAAAAAGGTGCATTTCATTTTTTAAATGTTACAATGGTGACATTTTTAATATGATATGAATGATTTGTGTGACATAAGTTTAATAATTGAATTTTATGTGTTAGATATGTAAATGCATTAGAATTGAGTTGTATGTATGCAAATTCCTCGTAAATTTTTAGGCAAAATTTTTTGGGCTAATATCTTCTGCAAAAATTAAATTTGGTTGTTTATAAAGCTAACAACCAACTACTATAATTTATATTTCAACTATCCAATTCTCAGAGTTGCAAATCGTCAACTCATACTTTTAATTATAATAAAATTTTTTATTATTACCGTCATATTAGTAAAAAAGAAGATTTTAAAGAAAATGAAGGGTGAAAAGTCAGTAGGACCTGATGATATCCCAATAAAATGTAAGAATGTTTAAGAGATTTTATAATTTCTCGACTTACGAAATTTTTAAATATTACTTTAAAAACTAAAAAATGCCATGGAGGAAGAGTATTTTGATCAATATTTTTAAGAATAATGCACAGAAGTGTGCAAATTATAGAGGAATTAAATTAATGTGCAATACAAGAAAGTTATGGGAGAGAGTGATTGAATATATGTTAAGACGTGATACCCAAATTTCTCAATTTCAATTTGGATTTATGTCATGCAAGGCTACCATGGAAGCTATACATTTATTGAGAGTTTTGATGTAGAACACAGAGAGAGTAAGGAGAATCAACATATGTTTTTTGCTGATTTAGAAAAAAACTTATGATAAGATTCCAAGAGAAGTTCTTTTGGAGTCTTTTATAAAAGAAATGTGTTGATATGACATATTCAAGCCATTCAAGATATGTATATTAGAGCTATTACTTTTGTTCAAACAGAAGGAGAATTGATCAAGTATTTTTCTATTTTAGTTGAATTACATTTGGGATTGACTTGAAGCCCATATCTTTTTCCTTTAGTTATGGATGCTCTTATTGGACATTTATAGGAGGATGCATCTTGGTGTATGTTTTTTGCTGATAATATTTTTTTTGTTGATAAGATTAGAGAAATGGTTCAGGAAAAATTTGAATATGGTGGTCAACTTTAGAGTCTAAAGGACTTTTGTGAGTAGATCCAAAACTGAATACATGTAATGTGATTTTAGTAGTAGTAGAATTAGTGACAGAGTTGTAACAATGAGTGGTCAAATTATTAAAAGGAGTGAACGTTTTAGATTTCTCAGGTTTTTTGTTCAAAGAGAGAGTGATATAGATGGGGGGATGTTATTAGTAGAATTCAAGTTGAATGGTTGAAGCGAAAGAATGCATTGGGCCTATTGTGTGATAGAAAAGTACCGCTCAGACTCAAAAAGAAAATTATAAAATGGTGGCGAGACTTGTATAAAACAAAGTTAGTGTTGCTAAGATGAAAATACTTAGGTGGATGAGTGGCTTGATACTTAGAGACAAAATGCAAAATGAATCTATCTGTGAAAGCGTTGGTGTAGCTCCAGTTGCAGACAAGATTAAAGAGAGTCATCTTAGATGGTTTCGTCATATTAAATGACGTCGACCATTTGATGATCCGATTAGCAGAGTAGATGTTTTAGATTCAACTTATGTTAAGAAAGACATATGTAGACCTAAAAAGACTTGGGCATATTGTATAAAAATGATCTTAATCTGTTAAACTTAAATGAATACACTCGATAGGACACAATAGAGAAAAAAAATCATGCAGCCGACTCCACTTAGTGGAATAAAGGCTTGTTGTTTTTGTTGTTGTGGTAGTGGTGAGACCTGCAATGCTTTTTGGTGCAAACTCTTGGCCAATCAAAGAGAAGCATAAAAATAAGTTAAGTGCGGTTGAGATGAGAATATGCTTAGGTAGATGAGTGGCTTTACACTTAAAAACAACATGCAAAACGAATATATTCGTGAAAGGGTTGGTGTAGCTCCAGTGGCAGACAAGATTAGAGAGAGTTGTCTTAGATGGTTTGATTACATTAAATGTAGACCATGTGATGATACTGTTTGGAGAGAAGATGTTATAGATTCAACTTGTCTTAATAAAATTAGAGATAGATCTAAAACGACTTGAGCTTGTTGTATAAATAATGATCTTAATTTATTAGAATTAAATGAATTTATTAGATTTATTAGAATTAAATGAAAATATGACTCTCAATTGGACACAATGGAGAAAAATGATTCTTGTAGCCGACCCCACTTAGTGGGATAAAGCCTTTTTGTTGTTGTTATTATTGCTGTATTAATTTACATTGAATTGAACTTGGCCCATGTAAATACGTGGGTATTTTATTTTTTGTGTTTTGAGTGTTAGATTGATAGAAAGTCAAGTTTTGGGTGCCATATGCATAAAATTTGTTATTTTTTTACTTATATTCAACTGTGCAATATCCTACCACATTTTTTGCATATAAAAAATTAGTCAATTTTATAAATTTTTAATGAAGATTCAATAAATCTAATGTAAAATATAAAAAAGATAAGCATGCAAAGATTCATGTTCTTGGAAACTGACCAAGATGGTTACTTGTCACTTAAGAGGGCTCAAATTGTTTATTGAAATGCTCTAAAGTCTGTTCTGAAGTTTTCTTTCAACAAAAGCGTGTGTTTTGAAGGGTTTATGAACATCAAGAAACTTACCCAGATGTTGAAGCAAAGCTGTTTAAAAATGTTCTAAAGCATGCACTTGTTTATGTTATTAAAGTGTAAGTTTTCTGAACTGAAGCATATGTTTCATGATGCGCTTTAACGCACGGGAAGCTAAAGCTTCAGCTTTCTTAAATTTTGATAGCCTAATTCAACATATTGTGCTTTCAAAAGGAATGGAGTGAAGACTTTTTTTCATCTATTTGAAGTTTTCTTGTCTGAGGCTTTATGACAAAAAAACTTCATGTCATTTACATATCATCATCTCTTTTATTGTAGTCTTTGACCTCATTTTTTCTGTACTCTTTTATCTCACAGATCTTACACATTGCAACATATTGGTTAATTTTCTTTTGAACTACTTATCTTATGCTCTTATCTTTTCATCGAAGTGCAAATTTTACTTTTTAATTTGTTTCCTTAAATAGTAAATTGCGCCTAACAATTAAATAATAAGCTACACTGTTTGAGCTACATTGACCTCTTACATAAACTCCTATCATCAGAGCCTACTAATATATTGGATCCCCTGCTCTGATGGTGGCAAGATTCTCGCTGGACTTTTCTCGTTTTTCATATGCAAGTTTATTGTTGTTGGTTCTGGACTCAAGCTGAGAGATATACCCTTCTATGACCAAATTCCAAGCAATTTATAGATGGGGAGAGGGTTGTGTGATAGATAATATTGGAAACACATTTGTATCTATTATCATTGCATAGTATTGCAATAAATGACATGTGAATTAATAAAGAAATATATCAGATTTAAGCTTCTAAAAAAGGAAAATAATTATTAGAGATATAAGGAATATATGAAGAATATTATTCTCTACATCAACTTAACAATCTCTTGCTTGAAGATCAATTTTAATGCCAGTCTAGGGAGAAAGAATCAATTTGTGGTTTTTCCCCTTTAAATTAACCTTGAAGGATACATTTTACCTTAATCCATCAATGGCAACTTGTTACAATCTTTTTCATGTTAACTTGCTATTCTTTCATCTTAAAATAATATTTTCTTGCGAAGCTATCAGATCATTTGGAAGCTTCCATTTTGTTGAAACTTAATCCCAACATCTCTAGAATCGCCAACTCTATATTTTATGTTGTCTTCCACTTTCTTGTGTTTGATGTCATATGCATAATACTATCCTTGCTTTCACACATTATCAATATTACACTAATAGTTATCTTCCAAGAATAGGTTAAAAATATTGATATGTTATCTTCTTCACATAACTGTGTAATTGAGACTGTTTTTTTTCAAGTCATGAAAATGTTTCACATTATGAAATTTCCTTGTAATCTTGTTGTTAGTCATGACTTATACATTGCCAATCCCCCATAACATTTAAGAGTTCATTATCAGAAAGATGAACCAACTCTTGATCTCCTATTGAATAATTTGACATTAACCCCTTGGAGTTGAATGAAAGTAATTTTTTGGTTTAAGATCCAAGGTTCCTTAGGAATAACCATACTAAAAAACAAATAAGCACTAATGACCAAATGCATCATAAATCTATTTGCGTGCAACATTCATAGACCCTTCCATTCGTTTTAAATGTTTTCCACTATTTTACTATGGATAATATTCTCTCATGTGGCCGAGAAATTATTGCATCAGGAGTACTGATGCAGTTTTGCATCAGAACTTCAATCAGGCCCTGCCACGTGTACAGACAGACCCCCAATTTAATACATGGGTTGACTTAATTGTACATGTGATAGACTTTGATTGGAATCCTGATGCAAAACTGAATTAGGATTCCAGATACAATAATTTGTCTGAGTGGTCAGATTTGTCACACCTCTGAGATGCATCACTGCAACGGTTTGATTGGCTCCAATGTTGAGATTTGAGTAGTGTTTTGTTGTGAACTATACCACCATTTGATGTGGTATATATATA